TGTGGCCCCGCCCCCCGCGTGGCCCCGCCCACCTTGGCGATGTCGCCCTGCACCTCGCGCAGCTTCCGCTTGTAGCGCTGGACGTCGCCCTTGAGCTGGTGGTTGTGGTTCTGCAGGCTGGAGATGAGGTGGCGCATCTCCCGGTTGATGGGGCCTGGGGGCACCGGGGGACATTGGGGACACTGGGGACACCGTGGGGACGTGGGGACACCATGGGGACATCAGCGGTGTTGGGGACATCGGGGATACTGGGGATACTGGGGACACGGGAACGTTGGGGACATGATGGACATTGGGGAGGAGGTGGCGCATCTCCCGGTTGATGGGGCCTGGGGACACCGGGGGACATTGGGGACATTGGGGACACTGGGGACACCATGGGGACCTCGGGGTGTTGTGGACATTGGGGATACTGGGGATACTGGGGACACGGGAACGTTGGCGACATGATGGACACTGGGGAGGAGGTGGCGCATCTCCCGGTTGATGGGGCCTGGGGACACCGGGGGACATTGGGGACACTGGGGACACTGGGGACACCGTGGGGACATGGGGACACCATGGGGACATCAACGGTGTTGGGGACATCGGGGATACTGGGGACACAGGAACGTTGGCGACATGATGGACACTGGGGAGGAGGTGGCGCATCTCCCGGTTGATGGGGCCTGGGGACACCAGGGGACATTGGGGACACTGGGGACACCATGGGGACCTCGGGGCTATCAGGGGTATTGGGGATACTGGAGATACTGGGGACACTGGGGACACGGGAACGTTGGGGACCTGATGGACACTGGGGAGGAGGTGGCGCATCTCCCTGTTGATGGGGCCTGGGGACCCAGCGGGCCACTGGGGCCACTGGGACACCATGGGGACATTGGGGACATGGGGACACCATGAGGACATCGGGGACATCATCTCCCCGCCGTGGTCCTGGGTTGGTGTCACCCCAACAGCCCCCACGGCCTCACATGTCCCCAGTCTCCCCAGGTGTCCCCACATGTCCCCAGGTGTCCCCAGGTGTCCCAGGTGTCTCCAGGTGTCCCCATGTGTCCCAGGGGCCCCCACACATCCCAGATCTCCTCACACGTCCCAGGTGTCCCCACATGTCCCCACATGTCCCCAGGTGTCTCCAGGTGTCCCACATTTCCCCACATGTCCCCAGGTGTCCCCACAGGTCCCAGGTGTCCCCAGGCATCCCCTCATGTCCCAGGTGTCCCCACATGTCCCAGATCTCCTCACACGTCCCAGGTGTCTCCAGGTGTCCCCACGGGTCCCAGGTGTCTCCAGGTGTCCCCATGTGTCCCAGGTGTCCCCACACATCCCCATGTGTCCCGGGTGTCCCCAGGTCTCCCAAGGTGTCTCCAGGTGTCCCCTCGTGTCCCAGGTGTCCCCACATGTCCCAGATCTCCTCACACGTCCCAGGTGTCCCCACATGTCCCCCCGTGTCCCAGGTGTCCCCAGGTGTCTCCAGGTGTCTCCAGGTGTCCCCACATGTACCCCCATGTCCCAGGTCCCCCCAGGTCCCCCCACACTCACCGGCCTGCTCGTTGGCCGCCAGGTTCTGCTCGAACTCGATGCGCAGCATCTCGTACTCCTTGTCCCCACATGTCCCCATGTCCCACATGTCCCCATGTCCCACA